ATAAAACAGTGCACGTGAAGTCAAACCAAATACTGTCTGGTAGCTCTACTGATTTGTGCGGGGATGCTGTTCCCTGGATTGTTAACAAATACACATCGAGGCACTGCACGCCAAGAAATCCAGACTATATCAAATATAAATGTGTCTTATATGTGTGAGTTCATAGGTTTATTTGTACAGAGAAGTCAAAATAATATAACAATAATCATCATATGCTACGTAAAACTCAAATCACGCTGCTACAGCATTGGGCCGTATTAGGTTTAGGGACATTAAACAGCATTTTTCTGCTGATGAGTTGATATATGAGATAATTGAAATAAACTGGAAAGAGAAAAGGGGTCTGGTCTCACCAAAGATCCAACATGTTGCTCTTTGAACCAATGGAAACTAAACTTGCTCCTTGACGTTTAGCTTTGTTGCTTATGATCAGCTTTGTATCACTCACAACACTTTTTATTTTCAGGTCTTAAGTGTAAGATTTCTATTCCAGAGCTGTGAGATGAACATATGAACTTGAACTACACAAAGTTACACAACATCTCCAAAGAGGCCGAATCACCTGCTCTGAGGATTTTAACCAAACTGTTTACAACATACAGAGAGAACAGCAAAGAGTTTTCACACGATGAAACCAACCAAAAGAGATATGACGAACTTCTGCTGCAGTGTGAAGGGTTGAACAAGTTGAATTCAACCTAATATGGCCCATCCTCATAGCACTAACACGTTGTAGTGTGTGTGTGTGTTATTTTTGATCTACTCCTGCGTGTACTGTGTGTGTGTGTGTGTGTTTTGGGTTTCTCACCCTGCAGCTCCTTGATCAGGAACTCTCAGACAGTCGAGGTTCGGCTGCGGTCGGCTGCCGTCTCGCTCCTTCAGCTGGTTGATGTTGCTCGGCAGGAAGGGGCGCGTTGCGTTGCCGGACGCCGGAGGCCTCTGGCTGTGATGCTGCGAGTTCCTCTGATTGGCTATGTGGTTGGTGGTTTTCAGGCCACCATTCTGGTGAGAGCCTGTGGAGGGGAAACAAAATATGGATTGTGTGATGCTTTGTTGTAGACAGTGAAGAAGACGAGCTGGAACACAGCGAGGATCCCTGTACCTGGAGGTCCTGGTGCAGCCCGCGACGGGATGTTCTGGTGGGTTCTGGACATGTTTGTGCGGCTCTGAGTGAAGCTCTTCCTGGTGGGGCCTGAGGACGAGATTTTCAGAATTTAAATAACTGGCATGATGTTGAATTCTTAACTTAACTGAGACAAGATGGAGAGGGACGAGGAACTGTAGAAATGGCTAACTTTTTTACATTGTAACATTTGATCCAGCTAGTCTTTTATGACATCACGTACGTCTTGTCGTCAACACCTACATCACCTATACTTGACGCAGACTGGTTTGTAGACTGGCGTGTGTCTGACGTCAGCCTGTTCAATTCGGCTGTTTTATTGTTAACTTTTAAAAACAAAGTGCATAAAAAATAGTTGTCTTTTAGTTTGAATAGAGAAAACGAATGAAAAGGTCGAAGGCAAAACGAACGTCCTCGTCTTTCAAACATTATATCGTCTAAGGTGAAGACTACAATCAAATCCTGAAGCTGTTTTCTGCATCTTAATCTTCTTCTGTTGTTTACTGTCTTTCAACTTCCTGCAATTGGACCAAAGAAGTTTTTCCACCCTGCAAACGATCTGAACCATAGTTTTGTTTGATCTGAACTGAGATCACCTCTTTTCGTTAAGTTTTGGTTAAATGGTCCAGACCACCGCATTTTGGATCAAACAAGGTGTGAAAGTTATGTCTGAAATGCTCTTATTTCCTCTTATACAGGTTATATACTTTTCCATGTTTATGTGTTTATGTACTTCTGACAGCATCTACTTGTCATCTACGTGTCAAATGTTTTTTTAAGGCTCATTGACAGAACAGGTCATTGATGGGGATGTTAATACTCACGTGTGTTCTTGGGAAGCCCGGGGCCTATGCTGACCTGCAAGGATTTGCTGGACGGCTTCAGGACGGGAACGTGTCCCTGACCCTGGACAAACAGGACCTGCCGGGAGCCGGCGCCGCCACTCAAGAAGCCCCAGTTCTCCTTCTTCAGTTTCAACTCCAGTCTGAAAACGACATCAGTTACAGATTCATTCTACAGTGAGGGTCCGGTTTGAATTCGATTCTCTTAAGTTGGAACAATTATTCCAAAATCAGAATCAAAAGTATACGATCATTGATAGTGGTTGGTTTGTGTGGTTGTCTGCGATCATGTTGCGCGTGTTGACTTACGTGTTAGTAAACTTGAGTGGTAGCTTCCTCTGAGTTTTCTCCTCAAACCTGCGGGACAGTAAGCTGATGAACTCGGTCTTGAAGACGCACTCCAGCAGGCTGTCGTACTCCTGCTCGTGTAGGATCAGGAAGTCGTCCTGCATCGTGCTGGAAAAACATGAAGAAAGTGTACGCAGTTAAAGGATGGGAAAGAAATCTCACAGCTGTTTTTGCTGCTTTTGTCCTTGTGATGAAGCTTCAGCGTCAGAATCGTCTTTCACATTTGCATAGACACAGAGGGAGCCTCACAGGGCCGCTCACATCTGAAGAGGGAGGACAGCTTGTGCCCTGTAACCCGCACAAGGATACTTTGTTCCTCCCAGTGAAGTGGAGTTTCTCTCTGATGAGCTCTTTACAACTCCTGCTTTCGTTCATTGCACCACCTGGTCCGTATTACCCCAGTGACTCAAAAGCCACATGCTCGCACCAGCAGCTCTGTGATTCCTACCTCTCAAACCGCTCATACAGAGTTCCCATCAACAACAAAGGGCCTGTGACTCTTTCAGTTCCTCTTCATTTTTTTTTTTCATTTCTTTGTAATGAACTAGTCTACATTCTTTCACCAGAGTGTTTTTTATTGTTCATCATGACAGCAACATTTCTGAGCTGTGGACCTGCACGTACAAAAAGGGACACAGACGTATACGAGACGTCGTTGTAATATTCTCCACATGTCTCCCATGTCCCTCGTGTGACATTTACAGCAACTTTGGAACTTGTGTGATTTGAAAAACAGAATGTGTCCTTGAGGTGGATTCCTGACCTTCTGCAGTGTCTACAGATTATATGGTGGAGCCCGGCAAAACAATCTGCTGCACATTGATCAGGCAGTGTCTTGTTGTGGAAACAAATCATAAGCCTAGAATGGACAAACCTGTTAGAGATGGCTTTTCATGTTTGTACATTGATGCAGCAGCTTGATTTGACACAAAGAAGCCGGGCGAGGAGGTTGGTTTTAGAAGTTTGCTGGGCACTTAAAAACTAAAATTATGCTAAATGGAGAATCATACTTGTACAGTAACAACAGAAAAAGCAAGGGAGTGTAGACCAGTGTTGTCAACAAACGAAAACATGACGAGACTAAATGAAATTGGGACGGGTGACGACAGAACGAGGAGCAATCTTATTTATGAGTATGAGCAATCTTATTTATCTAATTCTATAATTCTCTGAGTAGTTCGTACCTGAGTGAAACCGCCAAGATCTTCTCCACCTCAATCTGCCTCTTCAGCACCTCGGTCACCTGCCCTTTCTCTGGTCCCTGCTTCACCTTCTCTCTTCCAATCAGGTACACAGACTTTGGCGTCAGGATCAAGTCTCTCTTGATTCCCTACACAGAGCAGAAAACACAAATAACAGATAGATATAGATGTTGTTTAGCTGAGAGAAAGAAAAAGAACAGGCTGCAGACAGAACCTGAAAAAAACAACAACCTTGAAGCGACGGTCATATTTTGTGACTTTGTCCGCAAAGTCGATCTTTTCTCTCTTTCCCAGAAACTGCCGCAGCTCGGGCCTGTCATCCATGCCCAGGTAGTCTCCTACAAAGTTTCTGTTGAGGCTGTGTCGCCGCCTCTCCTTTCGATTCACCAGCAGGTCAGAAGCTAGATAAACCCAGAAGGAGGAGAGAGTGATAAGATCATGATGGAGGGAGATGGATAAACAGGTAAAGCCGGAACATGTTACGTGACTCACCTTCCTCCCTCATCTGGACGTACTTCTTGCGGGCCACATATTTCCTCCAGGCTCTCTGGATGGTCCTGGCGTAGCCGTCAAACTTGCGCTCCCTCGTCTCTTCCAGCAGAAAGAGCTGTGGGGGCAAACGGAGAGGAACTCACTGTAAGAGACGTGAACCCAAACACACACACACCTAAAGGGTCTGAATGGAGACATGAGAACATACAGACATACTGAATATGCCTGATAATGCTTACAACTCAACTACTGAACTGTCCTGATCACTATCTGACGGCAGGTACAGCCGAGTGCTGGGATCAGATCGTTCAGTACTGTGGAGACGCAACCTACACACCTGTCTGTGTGTGTGTGTGTGTGTGTGTGTGTGTGTGTGTGTGTGTGTGTGTGTGTGTGAGATCACTGTCTTTAAATTAGAAACACTTACATGGAATTTATTTTTTTATCCTTCATTATTTTGGGGAGCTATGGCTCAGGGGGTATAGCGGGTCGTTCTAACCAGGGGGTCAGTGGTTT